CCCCCCCCACACACACACACACACACACACACACACACACACACACACGTGACTGTAGGCGAGTCGCGGTGGTTGATGGGATACCAGTGAGGAGCAACGACAGCTGGTGTGATGGCAAAGAAAATATAAAAACTCGCCTTATTTATTTATTTAGTTTTTCGGTATTAGTACTTTGAATTTGTGTGGCCTCGTTGATACATTTGGAAGTATACGGTTGGATTGTTATCGTCCTGCTGCAGGTGAGTGTAAAATAATGTAACAAGTAACGTAAAGCAAGCGTGTTTTCGTCGAAAACCTAACAATACAAACGGTCAACATTATAGAAATTAAAAATACATTACACTTACACATGTGCCCTGTCACATTCTTTAAACACAGACCATATTCCCATCTTTCTTGTTTTTAGAGACTGAATAATTAAAAGGTCTGGAAATGCGCGAAATTGGCTTTTAAATCAATCTGAAGAATGACTTCTGAATAATTAAATATTTACGTAGTAACAGAAACAATGTGATCTACATTATTTTTAAAATGACATCAATGCATTGTCACAATTGATAAATTGAGGATTACAACGATTCTTTAATTTCCACATAAATATTCTAATGTCAAAAGGAAGATGAACAAAGACATTCAATAAACAATCAGATAACAGTCTACTTTTTTTATTGTTACAAAATGAACAACAGTACTTTATGTCCAAATGCAATTGTGGAGTATTACAGTTGTGACTGAAAACGTGTATTTATGTGAAATCTCTATAACAGGTGAAACACCCCTACACCTTTGCTATATCAGACATGAAGGAGGCATTTGTGTGTCATATCATTTAAGTTAACTTATAATGCACTTGTCTCAGGTAACCGAAGATGACCACAGCAGCAAGGCCAACATTTGAGCCTGCAAGAGGAGGACGGGGCAAAGGAGAGGGTGATCTGAGTGCTTTGTCTAAACAGTACTCCAGCAGAGACCTGCCAGGACACACCAAGATCAAATACAGGTGAAGTTGCTGTTCTTTACAAAAACTCTTTGGCAAAATAATCAGTTAGGGCAGAATTTGTATGATACCAGTGGACTCTAAGGAGTAGTTCACTCAAAATTGAAAATTGCTGACAAGTTGCTTCCCTCAGGCCATCCAAGATGTAGCTGAGTTTTTATCTTCATTGAAACATATTTGGAGAAATTTAGCATAACATCACTTGCTCTCAAATGGATCCGCTGCAATGAATGGGTGAGTGAGAATCCAAACGGCGCATTCATTGAACTCTCATTGTGACAGCACCCATTCACTGCAGAGGATGCATTGGTGAGCAAGTGATGTAATGCTAAATTTCTCCAAATCTGTTCTGATGAAGAAACAAACCCATCTACATCTTGGATGGCTTGAGGGCGAGTTAATTTTTTAGCTAATTTACATTTTTGGATGAACTATTTCTTTAAAATGTAAAGGTCTGATTGTGTGACCGGGAAAGTGTTAAGTTAAACTCATCTTAATATTTGGGTGTGTGCCTGCAGACAGCCCACTCAGGATGCTCCAGAAGAGGTGAGAGCACGTGATTTCAGACGTGAGCTGGAGGAGAGAGAGAGAGTTGCTGTTAAGAGCAGAGACAGAGGAGCACGAGGTGAGGAAGCATGTTTTATGTGAATATTTTTTGGCTTTGTCAAAATGTGTTCAGTGATTGACAGTGATCTTGTTTCTTTTAGAGCACACGACTTCCTCGTCTACTTCATCTTCATCCTCCTCCAAACGGCCACGTTTGGATCAGATTCCTGCTGCCAACCTGGATGCTGATGATCCTCTCACTGATGTACATACACTTTCTTATAGATACTTAGGCATGCAGGTTGATTTTGATACCAGTTTGAAGAATGTGTCTGTCTGTGTATGTTTTAGGATGAAGATGACTCTGACTCCGGCTCTGACAGTGATGATGACACTGCCGCCCTGCTGGCTGAACTGGAGAAGATCAAAAAGGAGCGAGCTGAGGAGCTGGAGAAAAAGGTGACCCTCACTAACCATTTACCACCGATCTTGGTCACTATCGCAAAATAAAGCCCTTCAGGATGATCCTGGTCACCATTTCAGGGTTTATTTTATGATTATGACCAGACTGACTGTGCATTTATCCCTTACTTAGGCTTGATATCTTACTGATGTAAGTCATCGCTGCTTTTTTTTTTTTTTTTGGTCTATGTGTAATTAAGGAAAGGGAACAGAAAGCAGAGGAGGAGAGGATACGTATGGAGAACATTCTGAGCGGAAATCCACTGCTCAATCTGGCAGGCCAGCAGCAGCAGCAGCAGCAGCAACAACAACAAAAACCACAGAGCCAGAACGCATTCAGTGTGAAGAGAAGGTAATTTAATGGTGGTAAAAAATAAGTAACGCAAGATTATTTGGTTTTCTGTCTTCTCTAATAAGTTACCTTCAGTTACAGTAGTTAAAGAATTAAATCAAAAGCAAAGCAAATAAAACCTCTGGCCAGTAATGTGCTTTAACGCAAGATGATGGAAACACTGTTTAAATTTAATGTCACATAGTGTGATATTCATCATAATATATTGACAATAATAGAAGTGTACTGTTAGAAATAATAGTACATCATTGTTCTAGATGGGTATAGTATGAAAAGCAACGGCTGGCAGTTTTTATTTATTTATTTTTTTTAAATATCTTTTTGCATTGTTTGCTATTTCTATAGCTTTTATATATTATGTACTCTTGAGACTAACAATATAAACGTCACCAAATTTAATTTTGGTCCAAAAGATTCTTATAATTCAATAGTAGTAGTAATAATAACAATATCGGTGTGTTTTTTTTTTCTCCCTGAATGAAAGTGAAAAAATGGCTTTGTCTTTGAATTGCAAATTCTTTAAAACAGAGAGCTGAATAATATACAGTTGACAACACTCAAACACATTCTCAAATTTTCTTTTTGGCAGGTGGGATGATGATGTCGTGTTTAAAAACTGCGCTAAAGGAGTGGATGAATCTCGTAAAGAGAAACGCTTCATTAATGACACCCTGCGCTCTGAATTCCACAAGAAATTCATGGAGAAATATGTTAAATAATTGTCGTTATAGAACTGTATTTCAGCAGTTTGTTTTAAACATTTTTTTCTTTTTAGTAAACATCATATGTGCTTTTTTTATTTTTAATCTTTATGTGCTGCCCTTCAGTATTTGGTCTGTAAAAGAAGTGTACCAATAAAAATAATGGAAAAATAGAATGCTTATTCTCTTTTCTTTCTACCATACGTGAACCAGTTGTCTTAAAAGTCATGCTTTATAACATTCACTTGTGCCTCACTTATATTGTGAGTTTGTGTCTGTTATATTTATCTTCTTGTTTTTATTTTTAGTCAAAATGGCCAGTTACCTTGTTTGTACTGATTACATTCATGAAATGCTTTACATGGTCAGATGGTTCCCTATTTTTAGGTCCGGTCATACTTTTTTTTTTTTTTTTTTATGTTGTTTTGTACAGCTATACAGTCTAGTAACTGACTTAGGAGAGCAATGTCCTCTATGTCACAATCATCCCCGGTGGACAAACAGGATGAAAAGCAAAATAATCAATGTCCCTCTCAGATCCAGACCCATTTATGACTTTCATTTTTTTTTTCTAGACTGAAGCAGATCCACTCTGAATCAGTGGAGCAGATCTGACTTGACAAAAATTTAATTTAATTTAAATTTATTTAGGACTTTTAACAATAGTGATTGTCTCAAAGCGACCCTACTAAGTAACACACCTAAACCCCCCAGCAAGCAAGAAAAAGGCAACAGTTTCATGGGAAAAACTCCCTTAATGTAACATTATATACCTTGTGAGAAACCAAGGCTGAAAGAGGAAACCCATCTTCTGTTTGACTTGAAATTTTTTGAAAGATTGTATATAGAATCAGTCAGGGGCGTAGATTACGCGGGGGACGTGTCCCCCTCACTTTTAATATCACGTAAATTCGTCCCCCGCACTTTTTCGGGCAAGTGTGTTCGCATAGAGGTTTTCAAGAGCCGGTGTGAATAAATATAGATTTAAATTCAAAGAGACAGGATAGTCTGTGCATGATCTGATGTTTTATTCGGACCCAGAATAAGGCGAGATGAACATCGCGGAGCGCTAAACACTCATGCAGTGTATGTTTCATTCATACTCGTAGCCGGAGGCGCTCTCGCGCAGAAAGTCGTACGAGGAAATGGACAGAAGCGTCCAGCTATCGCTGTATGAACAGTTGTTTTCACACATTTCTGTCCCCCTCACTTCTGAAATGATGGCTACGCCCCTGGAATCAGTACTGTGGGTCTGTATGGACAGTTTGTCTAAAATTAGTTGACCCAACTGTTGGCTTGGAAAGAAAACCTGTGAGGATGCGTTTAGATGTCCTGATAGCAGATAAACGGTTCTTTACTGAGCTAAGTATTAAGGATGGCTTGTGGTAGGCATGGTGAGGACTACTTTAGCAGACCACATGCAGCTATATCAGTCAGTGATGTATTTATGTGGTCAAAGTGAATGAACTGCAACACCTAAGGCACATTTCCAGGTCAGACCTGTTCTGAGTTAGCAACTGTGTGATCAATGATCCACAGCTAGCCTTCAGTGATTATTCACATTTTCTTGGAATGCCTTTCACTTAACAGTAAATGTGCATCAGCTGAGTGGGTGTTTGACTAATAGAACTATGTGTTCTTCAAAGTTTGAGAAAGTGCTTAGCTCTGACGTGTCTGATTGTGTGAGCTAAAGGAACAACTCTTTGTCAAGACTATGACTAAAAAAAAAGACTAAAAACTCAGACGTAACCTCAGAACTTCCTCCTCAGAACTGTCTTCTGATTGGCTGAGGCCAGCGGGTGGGCTGTAAGTGAGGTTCACTGGAACTATGAGTTTACAAAAGACATCCAATCAGCCAAGAGAGCCAGAGACGGAGACAGAGAGAGAGAGTGAGAAAAGGGAAGCCCGAACCTCCAGTTGCAGTTGTCCGTCTGTCTGAGAAAGGAAAAAAAGAACTGCCGTGCACAGTGTTTGTTTGTAGGTAAGATTTCAGCTTCCTGTGCACTTCAAATTCTTTTGCCTCAGGTTTCAAGTTTGACTGAATGACAATGTATTTCTTTTTCAGTTGTTTACAGTATGTTATAGTGGTGATGTTTTTGAAGGAGTGTTGAGAGAGGGAGTAGACATGAGGTGTTTACACTCATGTAAACACAATTATAGGTATTAATGTAGATAAAGATTTTTTTGGTGTGTGAGAATTTGTCTTAATATGTGGATCAGTGTGGTTATACTCCTTTTTAAGGGTTTGATAGAAAATGTCATTTTTTCAGATTGGACTAAATGGTCTGAGTATATTACGATACATTGTACAGTAATGAAAAAAACATTCATCCTTTTTGTTGATCAGTTCAAAAC